GTTATACTCTTGTCTAATTTAGATGATTTATTTCCTTAACAATTACCATCTGAATCGAGTGATTTAATTATTGTATTGTGTAAGTGATTTGTTGTGCATGTGGTTCATATAGAGTGAAAAACAAGCCCTGTATCAAATGGGCCGATGCCGGCGCGAAGCGGAGTAGAGTGAGAGGAGCGGAGCGACGGCATCGGCCTTGTGCGGATTTAATTCACTGTCTGGTTGTTAGGGACGCTGAATGGGTTGGGGGTGCAGGGGCAACGCCCTGCGGTACGGTACAGGGGTATTTTCTGTACGGGCCTTAAAGTTTTATATGGGCCCAGGCTAGGGTTAGTATAAATAATATGTTGTAACCCTATTTTTCACAACTAAATAAAGAAATCTCCGCTTCGCTCTCGTAGACGTAGGCACATCGCCGAACCACGTAAAATTCTTGTGTTGATTTCCGTTTTCATCTCTTTAATATTGCGCATAAAATCCAACAACTAGTATCAGAGCTAGGTTCAGATGGCGAGTTCTTCGATTGCAAAATTTGATGTGATGAAGTTTGACGGATCTGGGAACTTCGGATTATGGCAGCGAAGGGTGAAGGATTTGTTGGCGCAGCAAGAGATGATGAAGGCACTATCTGGGAAGAAACCAGAGGGTACGTCAGATGGCGCTAGCAGTTGGTACAATTCGGCTTTGTTTGGCGGACGAAATCATGTATCATGTCATGGACGTTGAGTCTCCGGCGGAGGTTTGGGAGAAATTGGAGAGTCGTTATATGTCAAAGTCTCTCACAAACAAGCTGCATCTAAAGTAGCGGCTGTATGGGCTAAAGATGCTGGAGGGTACGGATCTGATTCAACACACCAATGTGTTCAATCAGATCATCAGCGATCTATTGCGACTTGAAATCAAGTTTGATGATGAAGACAAGGCAATGATTTTGTTGTGCTCACTGCCTCCTTCGTACGACCATCTGGTGACCACGTTGACGTGGGGTAAAGAAACTCTCGAATTGGAGGAAGTCACATCAGCCGTGTTAGCCTACAACCAATGGAAACTGCGTACTGGTGAAACTTCACAGGGTGAAGGGTTGATCGTAAAGGGCTACCAGAATCGTGGGAGAAGGAAGGACAGGGGTGTTTCTTTTAGAGGGAACACAAGATCAAAATCTAGAAATTAAAATAAGAAAAACGTGAAGTGCTACAAATGCCATCAGATGGGCCACTTTAAGAGAGACTGTCCGAATAAGAAGTAGAGTGATGAAAGAAAAGGTGATGGGTCCTCAAACTCAACTAGTGTTGCAGAAGGAGACTCGGATCTGGAGATGGAGACATGTTATCAATCTCTGTAGGTAATTCTGTAAAATTAAATGACTGTTGGGTACTTGATTCAGCCTGTTCATATCACATGTGTCCTCATCGGGATTGGTTTCATTCATATCGTTCTGGTAATTTTGGATCTGTTCTGATGGGTAATGATGCATCATGTAAGGTCATTGGAATGGGGTCCATAAAATTTAAAATGTTCGCTGGTGTGATAAGGACCTTAAAAAATGTTAGGCATGTACCTGAGTTGAAAAAGAATCTAATTTCTTTAGGCACTTTAGACACAAATGGTTACTCTTATAAGTCAGAGTGTGGGGCTCTAACAGTGAAGAAAGGGGCTATGATTGTGATGAAGGGTTAGAAATTGGTAAGGAATATCTACAAACTATTCGGGGATACAGTTGTAGGTGGAGTTGCTACAGCAGAATCTGAGTCAGATGACACTCTTCTATGGCATATGCGACTGGGGCATATAGGAGAACGTGGCATGGTCGAGCTTCACAAGAGGAATTTGTTGAAGGGGGTAAAATCATGCAAGTTGAATTTCTGCAAGTTCTGTATACTTGGAAAACAGTCCAGAGTACACTTCAAGATGGAAAAGCACAAGACAGAGGGTATTCTTGATTACGTGCACTCAGATGTTTGGGGACCAGTGAGGGAGTTGTCCAAAGGTGGATCTCAGTATTTTATTACTTTCATTGATGACTTCTCTAGAAAAGTTTGGGTATATTTCATGAAGCACAAGTCTGAAGCCTTTGCCAAGTTCAAATTATGGAAAGCAGAAGTAGAGAATCAGATGGGCAGAAAAATTAAATATCTGATGACAGATAACGGTACAAAGTATACAGATTCACAGTTTCTGAGATTTTGTGAGGAGCATGGTATTCAGCGGCACTATACAGTTCGCAAGACACCGCAACAGAATGGTGTTGCGGAAAGGATGAACGGAACAATTGCAGAACGGGCAAGATGTTTGAGGCTGAACGCAGGGCTCTCGAAGAGTTTTTGGACAGAAGCAGTGAACATGGCATGTTATGTCATAAACAGATCACCACGAGCAGCACTAGATGGGAAAGTTGCAGACGAAGTTTGGACAGGTAATGAAGTTGATTATTCTGAATTGAGAGTATTTGGTTGTCCGGCGTATGTGCATATATTTGTTTATCAGCAATCCAAACTTGATCCGAAATCAAGAAAATGCATTTTTCTGGGCTATGTTAAAGGTGTAAAGGGATACAAGTTTTGGGATCCAGAGGCAAGGAAGATGGTGATAAGTAGGGATGCAGTATTTGATGAAGCATTCATGCTTAAAGCTTCTACAGATAAAGAGAAGCTCAATTCAGACGAGGGCACAGGTAAGAGCCAAGTGGTGCAAGTAGAGCTAGACGATGTTAACACAGAAATTAATGCTCAGGGAGCAGATAGTTCTGGGTCAGAGGTGCAGCAGTATCATAGTGTTGCCTTAGATAGACCACGTCGCACTACCAAACCACCAGCAAAGTATGGATTTGAGGATTCGGTTTCTTATGCACTCATTACCAGCAATAGCGATCCTATAACTTTTCAGGATGCTAAATGGATAGAGGCTATGACGGAGGAAATTTAGTCACTGCATAAAAATGATACTTGGGATTTGGTGGAGCTTCCGGAGGGGAAGAAACAAATAGGGTGTAAGTGGGTGTATAGAAAGAAAGAAGCAATGTCAGAAAAGGAAGGAGAAAGATACAAGGCTCGATTAGTAGCAAAGAGATACTCACAGAGGAAGGGAGTAGATTATGATGAAATTTTCTCTCCAGTCGTCAGACACACTTCCATCAGGATTGTTATGGCAATGGTGGCTAATTTTGATTTGGAGTTAGAGCAGCTAGATGTGAAGACTGCTTTCCTTCATGGTGATTTGAAGGAACAGATTTTCATGGAGCAGTCAGAAGGGTTTTTGGAACCAGGAACAGAGAATCTTGTGTGTAAACTGAAGAAGTCTTTATACGGGCTTAAGCAATCTACACGGCAATGGTACAAGAAGTTCGAATCTCATATGATTCAGATTGGCTACAGTCGTTGTGAGTATGATTTTTGCGTATACTACAGAGTTCTTGAGGATAACTTATATATTTTCTTGATGTTGTATGTGGACGACATGTTAATTGCTGCCAAGAATATGGATGAGGTAGACAAATTGAAATCTTTGTTGAGCAGTAAGTTTGATATGAAAGACTTAGGACCGACTAAGAAAATTCTTGGCATAGAGATCAACAGAGATAGGAAAGCCAGAAAATTATGGGTGTCTCAGAAAAATAATTTGAAGAAAGTGTTAGAGAGGTTTAGCATGTCAGATGCAAAATCAGTTGCCACACCATTTGCAAATCACTTCAGATTGTCTAATAATCAGTGCCCAAAGAGTGAAGAAGATGTTGCAGAGATGTCAAAGGTACCTTATGCCAGTACAGTTGGATGTTTGATGTATGCAATGGTGTGTATCAGACTAGATTTAGCACATGCAGTCAGTGTGGTTAGTAAGTATAAGGCTAATCCTGGTAGAGAGCATTGGAGAGCTGTAAAGTGGATTTTCAAGTACTTGAAAGGTACAATGGAGTGCGGGATCATGTTTGAGAGACAACATGGTGATATTTCAGTTCAAGAATATGTAGATGCAGATTATGCAGGGGACTTGGATGACAGAAGGTCCCATACTGGTTATGTTTTCACACTCGCAGGTGGGCCCATATGTTGGAGGTCAATGGTGCAATCACTTGTGGCATTATCTACAATTGAAGCAGAGTATATGGCGACAACTGAGGCAGCCAAGGAATTATTGTGGTTGAAAGGGCTTGTCAGGGAACTTGGAATCAAACAAGATGGAATAAAGCTATACTGTGATAGTCAGAGTGCCATCTTCCTAGCTAAGAATCAGATTTATCATGCAAGAACCAAGCACATTGATGTGAGATTTCATAAGATAAGAGAGTTGGTTACTTCAGGAGAGCTGTTGTTAGAGAAGGTGCATACCTCAGAAAATGCAGCAGACATGATGACAAAGCCAATCACAATGGATAAGTTCATGCAATCAAGCATTGCTTGAACTTGATTAACATCTCTAGCTGTTAGAGAAGATGTGTCCCAACCCATTGGTCCTAAATGGTGTGATTTTTTCCAGGTTATGTTTTTTCTCCTAAGGGGTGAATATTCGCTAAGGTGGAGATTGTTGTGCATGTGGCTCATATAGAGTGGAACACAAGCCCTGGATCAAATGGGCCGATGCCGGCACGGAGCGGAGCGATGGCATCAGCCTTGCGCGGGTTTAATTCATTGTCTGGTTGTTAGGGATGCTGAATGGGTTGAGGGTGCGGGGGCAACGCCCCCGCGATACGATACAGGGGTATTTTCTGTATGAGCCTTAAAGTTTTATATGGGTCCAGGTTAGGGTTAGTATAAATAATATGTTGTAACCATATTTTTCACAACTGAATAAAGAAATCTCCGCTTCGCTCTTGTGGACGTAGGCACATCACCGAACCACGTAAAATTCTTGTGTTGATTTCCGTTTTCATCTCTTTAATATTGCGCATAAAATCCAACATGCTTGTTGATAGTTTTTAATCTCTGCATTTTTGTTTATTGACTGCTAGGTTAGTGTTATTACCATGTTTTCTATGTGCTTCAATATTTGTTATGCTACCTTTTCAGATTGATAGTCTGCATAGATGCTCTATATCTGTGGATTCTCAAACTGAAAACAGCGAGAGTGAAAATACAACTGATGATGAAAATCTAGATATAAAAGATGATGGTTATCATGATGCTGAAATTGAAGTCGACCCTGAAACAGATGATGATCATGATCGTGGACTCGGTGGAAAGTTAAGTGAAAGTAGTGGATCTGTAGCTGGCGATCTGTATGACCATAAGGTTCTCTCTCTTTTCCTCCTCTTCTTTGCATGCATGTCTATGTGCAAGCATTACTTCGAAGAGTTTACACTGGTGCACTTTTTATATCTAGTTTCCAACGCTGCTCTAAGAGTACTTGTTCAGATATATATTATTTTTTTCAGCTTTTAGATTCTTCTCGAAGCACTTTATTAAATATAGGGTAATAAGATAGTGTATATTAAAATGGATCAGAATCTGGAGAATTTACATCTCTTTTCAGCTGTCAGGTTATGGAATTACAATCCTGGAACCGTGGCTCCCGTCTGTTGATCTAGAAATGGTCAATGTGAAGAGACTACAGTTGATATATTTCCTACTTTAGGAATAAGCTTTATCTAATTATCTGTAAATGATTACAATCTGAAAAAATGAAAGTAATAAAGAAAAAGTTATAACAGAGCCTAAAATATTCAACGTATTATGTTGACAATATTAATTTATTTCCACTCATTTTCATATCAAGCATAATATAAGAACTTCTCTAGTAATCTGTGATAATTCTTTCCCTTTTCTCTTTTTCACTTCTAACAGATAGTAGGCATTTTCACAGCAACTGAAACAAGTTTCTAGGCTAACTTTTTATCATGGAATGTGCACTTTCAGATCTCAAGGATTAATTTTTTTAGTTCATAAATAAAAAATCACTGAGGTCTGCTCAAGTATGTCAGCTGCAAATGTTGCACCAAACTACCGTAATCTTGTGCCCTCTATTTACTGCAGTTGCAATTTGACTTCACATTTTTTATTTCCAGGTCAATGGAAATGATGATTCAGATGTTGGACCTCGCACAGAAAATCAGACTTTGAGAACAAAATCAAATCTAACAGTAGACCCAAAACCTCTTGGAAATTCTAACATCTCAATTAATGAGCAACTAGACCAACATAAGGAGGCTTGTGAAAACTTGACAGATTTTTCTACAGATTTACCTGGTAATGAGTCTCAGCGATCCGTAGGAGAAATTTTGTCATCTATGGATCAAGAACTACATCTATCTGTTCCTGGACCTGAGACATTGGTTGAGAAGTCAGCAACCAAACATACAAATTCCAATCTCAATGTCAAGAGCTCGACATTTTGGGGAAGAAAAAATGTAGGTTTTCCAGTTGATTTTCAATGTCTTGATGCTTTTTTTTTTTTCTTTTTATTTTATTTTTTGATAAAAAACTGATTGAGAATTAGAATAGCAGGAGAAGCACCCTGAGGGGTGGGATTGGTTTCTTGATATTACTTACCTACAGAGGAGGAAACTTCACACTAACCAGTTATGATGCAGATACGTGTGTCCGACACAATACGTTTCGAATACGTCAACACGTGATTTTTCAAAAAAATACCAACACGACATGTCGATTAAATTCTTTAAAAATCTTCATTTGTATAGTATAAATTTGATTTTATACTTGTTATTAATTTTATTTTTTTATTATTATAATTATTTTTTTAAATCTTTTAAATATGAGTACCTATTTGTTATTTCCTCATAACTCTGAGTTAAAAATATGTAATATTTTTAATAAAAAATGAAAAAATGTTTATAGTAGAGTGTATGAGGAGTGTTGGTATCGTCGGACACGAACACGCTACCCTAATTGAAGTATCCGTGCTGCAAAGCTAACTAGTGATTATAATTGAGAATAAACCTAATCAAATTGCTTGGAATTTGACTTAACTGATTAGCTTTTCTTGATTCTTGTTTAACTTCGAAATCATTTCCCTTTTTTTTCATATATAACATTGCCAAAGATGGAGGCAACGTACATTGATTATTTTTACTTTCTGGTTTTTGTTGTCCCTAAATCAAACATTTTCCCTGTTGTAGTTGATATTTTCCATTACATGGATATAGAAAAACACATCCTCACACATTTGTTTGTAAACTCGTCAAACATTGTTCACAACAGTAATCTTTTTCCATTCCCTTCATTTTGAGCCTCGAGCTGTACCTTCACAGCTTGATTTTACTGGGCCAGCATGAGATAGTTTAAATTTCTATTTTCATTTTATGGCTGCTCCTGCAAAGTCCTTTTTAAGAGATTAGAATTTGATGCAGGGTAAATAGAAAGAAATAAGAAGGAGAGGGGAGGAGAAGAGAAGAAGGGAAACCGGGGGTGGTGAAGAATGCAGAGGCAAGGGAGAAGAAGAAGAGAGGAAAAACGGGGGCTGTAGAAGCCAACTTTTATTCAATCAATTCATCGTCCAAAATTACAAACCAAGATAGGTTTAAATAATAAAAACCTAGAAATATAGGGCTAAGCCCATTATTTAAGTCCTAACTAAAATACGTAAACTTAAATAAAAGTTCAACTGAAACAATAATAAAAGTCCAACTAAAATACTGAAACAATAATAAAAGTTCAACTATAATGATGTCCTCATCAACTCTCCCGGGGTGGGAGAAAACTCGACCTTGTCGAGTGGATATATCACCGTAGACTCTTGTCAATCTCCCAACCATAAGCTGAGTGGTTGGGCAAGTTTCTTCCGGCGTCTGTAGAAATGCGTCAGTGGCAGTCTGAACCTGGTGTCCTCATCAACTCCCCTCGGGTGGACGGGAGGCGATCTGGGCCAAGGAAGATCCTGCTGACTCCGATAAAGCTCTAGCAAATCTGGATCCAAATGCTGTAGTGTCTCCCTGGAGATCCATGCACAATCAGAATCTGGTCGACCAACCCAACGAACAAGGAAGCGCTAAACCTCTCTATCATTAGTGAACACAGTTTCTTCATCTAAAATAGCATCAATTTTATCTGTGTGTGCTGTGAGAGGTGGTAGTGGGTTAGAGGGGGCCAAAGAATTAGGATCAAGGTCCACAAAAGGAGGTAACAGGGGATCATCTGAGGGAATGAAATGGCCTTTATAAGCTACAAGGTCTTCAACATTGAAAGTATGGTGGTAACCAATGTGGGATGGAATGTCCACAATATATGCATTTGGACCAACTTGTTTTAAAATTTTAAAAGGACCAGCACTACGAGCTTGCAATTTGGAGGCGGGTCCATGTAGACGCCGCTCTGGCCTAATGCGAACCATAACGTAATCCCCAACATTAAACTCAATATGTCGTTTATGTAAATCAGCTTGTAGTTTATAAATTGCATTACTAGCTTCAAGTTGTTTATTGATCTCAATGTGCAAATCACGAAGGTGTTGTGCAAATGCTTCGGCTGATACTGACACTCTAACCTGTGGGGACATAGGGATGAGATCTAATGGTTTCCTAGGCTTGTACCCGTGAACGGCTTCAAATGGACTCATACCTGATGAACGATTTACGGAGCTATTATACGCGATTTGAGTGACAGTATGGATTAAATCCCAATTTCGAAGGTTCTCCCGGACCAGACAATGTAATAAGTTACCAAAACTCCGATTAACAACTTCGGTCGGACCGTCAGTTTGAGGGTGGTAGGCTGTAGAAAATTTTAATTCGGTACCCATCTTATGCCACAAAGTCCTCCAAAAATGGCTAGTGAAGCGAACGTCCCTATCGGACACGATGGTCTTGGGAAGCCCATACAGTTTGACAATCTCATTAAAGAATAACATGGCAACCTTGGACGCATCCGATGTTTTGCTACAGGGGATAAAGTGAGCCATTTTCGAGAAACGATCGACAACCACGAAAATAGAATCATGCTTCTTTGGGGTGCGTGGCAGGCCTAGCACAAAATCCATACTAACGTCTTGCCAAGGACAATTGGGGACGGGGAGAGGAGTGTATAGGCCTGTGTTCTGCTTCTTCTGTTTGGCCAATTGACAAGTGTTACATGTACTAACAATTTTAGCCACATCTCTCTTTAAACTAGGCTAATAGAATTGGCGTTCAACCTCCTCAATGGTCTTATCACGCCCAAAGTGACCGGCTAACCCTCCCGCGTGAATTTCCCTCACTATAAAATCTCGCACTGAAGTTCGAGGGATGCACAATTTATTGGCTCGAAAGAGGTAACCCTTCTCAAGTCGAAAGCCATCTGTGCTGTTTGGTCGTCCTCCTTGCAAATCGAGAAAGACATCCTTAAAATCTGGGCATGCCTCATAATCTTCCTTAAGCCTTTCAAAACCAATGACTTTGACACTCATGATCGACAAAAGGGAGACACGACGACTTAACGCGTCAGCTGCTTGGTTCTCCACGCCCTTCTTGTGTTTTAAAACAAATGAATAGGCCTGCAAATATTCAACCCAACGTCCATGCCTAGAACTTAATCTCTTCTGAGAGTTGAGGTTAATTGCTTGGGTCACTGGTTAGAAGTAGCCGACGGGTGGTCGATTGGATGTTGAAGTCGGTAATTGGTGGGAGTCGCCTGCGTCTGAGAGGATGGCGACTGTTGGGGGTATGGTTGGACGTTGCGGCTGGGAGTGAATTTGGGTTAATCGGCGAGAGTTAGGGCTGGTGGCGAACGGAACGACGACGACTACTGGGAAGCAGGGAGACGGCGGTGAGGATGACTGCGACTGTCACTTTGGTGTGTGGGAATACATGTGTAAGCTGCAGAGGTTAATGGGTTGCGGTCTGTCAATTTTCAAGGTGTGAATGGGGAAGGTGACGGTCACAGGTGAGTTTGTTGTTGTCTGTAAATTTTCAGTGCGGGAGTTGGGAGGTGATGGTCACTGGTGGTATACTGTATGTTCGTTGGAGAGGGTTGACGCAGAGGGTGGAGGTCGCTTTGGAGGTGGCGGCCGAGAATTTCTTTTTGGGGTTGCGAATTGGGAAGAATTCCAGCAGCGACCATGGTGGACTGGACGTTGACAGTTACGGGCAGGGAGTGGTGGTTTATGGTGATGGCGGTTTTGGATTTTGCAGTGAAAAATTCCCAAGTTTCGCTCTGATACCAATTTGATGCAGGGTAAATAGAAAGAAATAAGAAGGAGAGGGGAGGAGAAGAGAAGAAGGGGAACCGGGGGTGGGGAAGAACGCAGAGGCAAGGGAGAAGAAGAAGAGAGGAAAAACGGGGGCTGTAGAAGCCAACTTTTATTCAATCAATTCATCGTCCAAAATTACAAACCAAGATAGGTTTAAATAATAAAAACTTAGAAATATAGGGCCAAGCCCATTATTTAAGTCCTAACTAAAATACGTAAACTTAAATTAAAGTCCAACTGAAACAATAATAAAAGTCCAACTAAAATACTGAAACAATAATAAAAGTCCAACTATAATGATGTCCTCATCAGAATCCAAATACTATTTGCTTTAAGCACACTTGGGTTATCACATCTTATTTAAGTTTTTGAAGCCAGTCCGTTGATTGATAACTGGTTTGTGTCTTGATGAGCCAAATTTTATATTAATGGATGCTATTTGGATTGTAGATTCCCCAAAATGATGGATCATGAAAATTAGGTATAGCATATAAAATTGATTACAGGAACCAAGATAATTTACTAATGCAAGTTGAAAATTATTTATCTATATTGGTAATTTTCCTATTTATTTATCTGATCTGATACTTTCCTTCTCGCAGACCCAAAAATCACCTTCAACAGAATCTATTGATTCTTCTGGGGAGGAAGAGTAAGATTATCTTATCTTACATATTGATGTGTTGTGCAAAATCTGCCAAATTTTTGTCCTTTATTAAGACCATGTGATATAAATATGTTACAAATTTTACTTGAGTACACTGAAAATCTGCTTTAGTTGAGAATATTCTTGTAGCTGTTTAAAATTGGTTTGATATCTAAGATAAGAAGGAGTTTATCGCCATCCTTCCTCCCTGACTCAAAAGAGGAACATTATTGTTTCCAATTTCAACTCTTGGTTTTTATGGTCAAAGAGATAAATTTATTGCGTGAAATTCGTAAACGTGGGCTGCATTATGTTTCTATGAGGTTCTTTTGATTAGTATTATGCTTGGTGTTCTGTTGCACAATGCTCATTTTTCTCGTCTTTACTTTTACTGCGCTGTTATTGTCGTGTCTTTAGATGTGGAATTTCACCATATTCCCTTTTTTAACCTGCTATATTATTTTTATGGTGAAGATGGGAAATTTGAGTGTCACATTATGACATGATGTTATTGGTAACGCTTAACTTGCTATTTATAGATGTATATCAAATAGATTGAAAGAACAATGTTACAAACTATGCCTTATTCGCATGAATCCTATCCGCCACTTCGTTTGATATGTTGCTACATTGACCTAGATGATTTAGTGAATCATATCACATCACTCTCATAAAGACGACCTTTATTAGTTTTATGTAAGACATGCCCTATCATCTCTGTCCTTCACTTTGTTGCCCTCAATGTTGCCATCTCTCTCTCTCTCTTGATAGATAATCAAATATTTTATTAATCAAGAATAATACACATGAATTAATTTATACAAGAAAGAAACAACACAAAATTGGGCAACCCATCTATACGAGTAATAGCCGCCGCATTAAATCAAGTATACAATGTCAAATAAAATAATTCTTTAATCTACTTTGTTCTCCGTGTATGGTCATCAAAATAGCAGCTGTTTCTTTCCATCCACACATACCATATGATGCATCCTAGAATAAGGTCCCAAAGAACCTTACTATCCTTGTTACAAAATTTTTTCATCCGTCCATTCAATACATCTTCCATAGGCCACGGTAACACCCAATCCATGTGTTAAGAAGCCATAACATCGTTCCACAACAAATGAGCATTGTTACAGTGATTGAACAAATGGTCAACCGTCTTCCCATTCCTCCTACACATAAAACCACTCCGTAACATAAAAACCCTTATTCGAAGGTTATCCACCGTTAACACCTATTTCCTCACAACCGTCCATAATAAAAATGTCACACTGGTGGGGTCAAATGAGCTTTCCACTGATAAGGATCTAAAATAAGTGCGAATTGAGAAAATACCATCTCGTGCCAACTTTCACCTACCACAATCATCCTTTCCTACCGTGATGTGCACTTCATACAAAAAGGCCAGAAGCAGCGCATAATAATCCAATTCCTAGTCCTGCAGACCCCTCCCGAATATATCTAAGACATTATTCACCATAGCAGACGTCATCAAAGAAATACAATACAGAGAAGGAAATCCCACTCTTAACGGCTAATTTCCACACCAACAATCTTTTCAAAAAACGGATAGTATTACCATTCTCCACCTCAAACATCAATCTATCCCGAAAGTCTCTCCACCCAAGTCGGATATACCTCTATAGACTCACCCCATAAGAACCGCGAACCTAGACTGAGCACCATCCCCCTTTATAACACCATATTTCGCCTTTATAATTTTTCTTAAGAAACTCTACCTCTCCACTCCGAATCGTCACAATCACTTACCAGCAAGACTTTACTCAACAATACAAGGCTTCTCAATCCAAAGCCCCCATTTCTTGTGTGAGAACAAATTGCATCCCAATTAACCAAGTAAAGTTTCCTATCTTCCCCTAACCCTTCCCAAAAAAACTTCATTTGAATCATCTCTAATCTTTTTGCCATTGAAGCAGGGATAGGAAACAATGACAAGAAATAAATAGGAAGATTCGATAGGGTGGATTTAATGAGGGTAAGACACTAAGACGGCCTTCCTTTGAGAGATACATATGCTTCCAACTCACTAACCTCCTCTCAACCCTTTAATATCTTCTTTTTTATCCATTCTTGCATGGTCACACCTCCATCCTAATTTTCATTCATCTTATAGAATTTCTGTACTCCGATAACCCCGAGCAGTTCTCCATTTTGTGAAATCCACTCTAATTACTTGCATTGCATCCTCTTCTGATCTTCTGTCCTTATTAGCAATTAAATTTAAATACCTACTTCTACTTCTGTATTTGTCGAGGAAGATCCTAGTGTTAAATTTTTCTTTTTTATTTTTTTTATACCATATTCTTTGACTCTGTTTACTAACAATTCATTACTATACCAGTTTTCCCTTGCTTTCTTTTTGGCAAGCCACGGAGGACTCTTCCATCAGCAAAGTTAATCCTTTTGGTTTGCCTTTTCAATTAAATGTGATGATTTTGTTTGCAGAATTGCCATCCAGAGATTGGAGCTTGCGAAGAATGATTTACGTCACAGGATTGCGAAAGAGGTAAATCTAGCTTTTAGCAAGTGCAAAGCTGAGTATCACCTGTATAATGTTTGCCCATACGATATGATTGCTCATCCATGTTAGGCAAGAGGAAATGCAATTTTGCAAGCTAGCTGGCAGAGAAGGAAGCAAGCTTTGCATGAACGTCGTTTGGCACTCAAACAGGATGTATGTGTTGGTTCTACTAATTCAAATATATAACTGTTTTTTTTCCTAACATTTTTCAATATATAAAATTGAGCTGCTCCTTGTTAGCCCTTTCCAGTTATGATCTATAGTAAATTACAACCAACTTGCTTCAGATTTCGGCAAGTATGGGGGTCCTCAGCCAATTCCTAATCAACAATGTCAATGAATGCTTAATTTTGAATCTTTATTTTCTTAGGAACTACTCCATGTAAACAGACAATTGCAAACTTTGTAGTAGTTGGTTGTGTAGTTGGTTGTGCGCCCCTTCCTTTCTTTTTACCCTGTTGCTCTTGAGCGCTATCTCATGTTCAGGAGGCAAGTAGATCTGCACGATTGCTTGAAAGGGTCAAATGATTTTGATATTATATTACAATTCTGAAGTCAAGTTTAGAACTATGAATCCAATTTATATCATTCTTTTTGAGGAAGTGAACCATTTAAACAAAAACTGAAGTAATTTGTTCTATTTTATGCTTTCTTGGATAAGGCTTTGTCATCTCATAACTTTGAAAAGAAGGCTTTCATTGGATTTTAGTGGCTTGATACAATCATGACATTACAAACACACACAACCTTATCTGTGCCTATCGCTGCAGTGCATGCCAACTGACTTTGTTGGCTTCTACCTTAGGTTGCAAGACTGCAAGAACAGTTGCAAGCTGAGAGAGATTTACGGGCCGCACTGGAAGTTGGCTTAAGCATGTCTTCTGGACAGTTTTCTGGCTCTCGTGGAATGGATTCTAAGGTATTTGTCAATCTTCAAAACCTCCAATTATATAACAATTTTGTAGAATTTCTTATGTGTTTTATGAAACTATAAAGACAAGGGCTGAGCTTAAGGAGATAGCTCTTGCTGAAGCAGATGTGACTAGATTGAAACAGAAAGTTGCCGAACTTCACAGTCAACTAAATCAGCAATGTCAGCATCAATTTGGCTCTCTCTCTGATGAACATGATCATTATCAGCATGCTGCCAATCATAGTTCTCCAAGGTGAGTCAAAATCCAGTTATTTCATCTCTACACACTTATAGTTCCTTATGGACTTGACATGTTTCTTATACCAGAATATATAGCATGTCAATATCTTGTATTGAAAAAGCTTATCTTCCCGTGCAGGAAATATTTTCAGCAAGATTTTGACACAACCCTTGCTTTTGTTAACCATGAAAGAAAACAAAGAACAGAGGTGATTGCACATTTTTATTTGTTAATTCATTTTCATTTATTATAATGGCTGTTATACACAAATTTCTGCCTTTTTTCGGTCAGTTAAAATGAACAGAGATGAATGATTACTTGGCGTTTTATGTGAAAATTTATGAAATAACCACAGGATTGAATCTAACTTGTTATTGTTGTTATAATAACAGTAACTAACTATCTATATTTTATTTTTTTGTGTGAACTTCTATTTCTCGCAAGTAGGATCAGGAAGGTTCATTAGAAAAATGCAAAGCATACAATCATTTACGCATAGGGAGTCAATTCTTTTGTTCGTATAGCATTTTATATTGATAAAAAATGTTCACAGATTGACAAATTTACAAAAACGAGAGTTGGAAGACAATAGAGAGTGGAATTAAATACTATAGGAATTTGCAGTTCCTACAGCTTATAACTTCATTGAATTGGATTGAATTATACTCTTTATTGATTGTCTGATCATTCTTCAAACTAGGACTTGCATATCCTACACTACCCAGAAATTTGCTTTAAAGTCAATGGATTCTGCATTCGGGGATCCAAAGGTCATTTTAGCTGACTGTAATGGAATTCAACAAAATGAAATTGCCTATGTCCATTTGAATATTTGGATGGAATACTATAAATATACAGTTTTGTCGTATTAAACTTTGACGTTGTTAATCACAGTTTATGAATATAATACTCTAAATCTTAGTGGCTTCAGGAGTTACTAGGGCCAAATTTGAGGAATATTAAGGTGCAGGAATTAACATCTGGCAGGAAGCCAACAAGTTTGAGTGATTCTAAAAGTAATGATGCGTCCACAAGTTTATCTATGGGCGACCTTTGTGCTGTCAATTCTGCATCCATACCTTCTACTTCGAGGGCAGCAGAGGTATGACTTGACATATTTTCTCAGGCCTTTGGCCTACCCCTAAATGAAAAGCTAGAAGCCTGAAGAGCCTCTTAGAAAAATATAGGATAGGAACCAAGACAAGTGATTTTCAGGCTGAAAACCAATGATTTTGTGTTCCCATTATATCATCTAGTTTTTATTTTTATATAAAATTTGTATTTGTTGAAGTCCTCGTGGGGGAGGGGTGAGCATTACTCAGTTCCCAAAACTCTTAAAGTCCCTGTTTGCTTTAGTTAAAATTCAGATCTTTAGTGGATATTGATAAAAGCTGATAAAATGTGGGGTTGAAAAATTGATCAAAGTTGTGGGTCCCACAAAATATATGGTTAAAAATGAATTTTAGAAGACGGCAAACCTCTATTAAATTGGCATATTGCTCTTTCTTATCTAATTTTACGAAGCTGGATTTTGATTCCCAACTTGAAGTGAGGCATGTTTTCGTGAGTATCACGTGATGATTAACGGAGATTTAGACTTTTCTGTTGCTAGAGATTGATTGTGGACCTATAACAAATTGTTGTGGACCAACTTGTTACTTTTACAAATAGGTTGTGGACCAATGCTTCAAAATTTTCCTTCTTAACGGTCTTTATGACACGAGTTAATCAGTATCTTGCAACAAAAAACACAATATTCTTGTGCCTTCTGATCCTAAGATCCTAAAATATTGTGCCTTTTGATCCTAAGATCCTATATTGGTTGCAGGTGATGGATTATCCGAGACATCCCTCAGCAGCATCCTCGACCTTGGTAGAATTGACGACACGTCTCGATTTCTTCAAGGAAAAGAGATCCCAGCTAATGGAGCAACTCCATAGCCTGGATCAAAACTATACAGCAAAAACTCAAGATTTTCTGTATAAACCCTCATCTCCTCCCTGGAACTGATCACAGCTCATGTAAGTGTGTCAAGAACAGCAGATAACTAACATCTTATCATCTGTATATTCTTTGTGCAGCAGTATTTATACACCCGTATTTCGTGTTTTATCTATTTACTTGGTATTTTCTGTTGGAAAAAATTCCAACTTTGGGGCCACACATGTACATTTATTAGAATGTGTGGTGCTATTTTAAATCAAATATAGTCGATAAAGTGATCCATTGGATTTAATTTTGGACTATTGGGTATTAAATTTTATGGGATTAAAGTGTAGAGACCAGAAGGTGTTATTATGAATTGATGAGGGGCCGATTTGAAATAACTTAAAGTTAATAACTGCCAATAGCAGTTATTTTAAAAGTGGTTATGGTCCCCAATTTGAACGTGATTTTTCTTTTGAAAAATCTCTGCATCCCCATCAACAGAGACTTTGAAGAAAACCAAGAGGAAGGAGAATCACGTATCAATTGGAAGATCAAAACCCAATTAAAGCAGTAATATTCATGGATCAAGGTATGTTTCCGCACTTTTTGTTGTCTCTTTGATTTCAACATGGAATTTATGATTTTATGGAAGGATTTTATGAATATGGTTCCTTTCAAATTTATGCAACATTTTCTCCACTTTTATTCGTGCTGTTTTTGGAGAATACCTGAGAATGTAAATTAGTTATCTACGGCATGGAATCCATAGTAAAACAATCTTTTGTTTGTATGCACGGTTGTAAACCCACGATTTTGTTTGTTAAAACATAATGTTTGTAGTTTTTGCATTCTGTTAATTTGATCATAGGCCAATTGTTGTCTTTGTTAAAATTTAATGTTGACGATGCGTCCTTATTATTATTTTTTCCCCCCTAAAAGAAAAGAACTAATTATTTAGACGTGTCTTGAAAGAAGCTGGTCTTTCAATTGACGTAGATTCAATGATATATCCACATTTGATGTTACAAAAATTGATACATGCGGCCTCTCCTCGCTATGAATATCATTCCATTCACAAAATGATGGCAGCTAATTTTAATAAAAATGTGATAATTTGAATTTGAAGTACCTCCATTGCTCAAATTTTAAAAAAATCATAAATTTCGACTTCATAAAAAAGTAGGGCCATCATACTTGTTTGACGTAGTGTATATCATGTTGGCGATCGGTTTTCTGAAACCACCCATTTCTCTTCAGAACGTGGTTGTTCTCTGATATCAACTGACGCGGTAGCAAAAACATAACAAAACGACAACAGCAATTCATATGGAATTATCATGGGTAAGTCTTGATTCATGCATGTTAGCACTAACTTTTTAGTACAAAAGAGAGACTTCAACAAATAAGCCAGACATTTAACAGAATCTAAATCAGAAGTTACACACTAAAACTAGCAAATGTACAGTACATAGGCAACAGCAACTAAATCTGGATAGGCACAGCATGGGAAACATACTAATAAAAGCCCAGACCTTTAAAGTCAGCATACTATCCTTATTCGTCAAACAAATGAATGGAAATACTGTACAAAACGTCTGGTTGCCCCAGAGAGTATGGTTTGTTCACCCTCAGGTGCGACCAAACCGAACCAAATGCTGCTGATGCTTGGCGGCGGCTGCCATGTCGGCAGCTTCACGCTTCAGGGTCCGTTTTGCACGTCGCCCAACAGGTTCCTTAGCAGCAGCAGCAGCAGCAGCTTCTTTCTTCTTCGGCTGACGAGATGGGCCAGCACCGGAATCCTGAAAGTTCGGTCGAGAAATTGGTCGCGCTTCTTGCCTTCCTCCCCTAACATATCCATTGTCTCCCCATCTTCGATTACCGATGCGGAGACTAGAGGAACTACCCAAGAAGAAATCTTCATCCTCGTCCTCGCAATAGTAATCTTCAGTTTCTTCATACACCTCTTCTCGTTCCACCACAATCAAAGGCTTGAACCATGAGGCTCTTAGGAGGAGGCAGACACTCTCTTCGAACATGTAATCGTGAATGCTGTCAAAATCAGAATACTTTGATATCAACTGAGAAAAAATATATTCGTACCACTTAGATCTAACCTTAGTAATCATCCGTTCTACAAATAATTTCGTTATTTTCTTCTAAACAACAGGGCTGCCGCAAATTTTCTTATCTTACCTTTCCAGTTCTAACACATATTTAACTGAAATCAACTAGAGAAATCAAGCAGATCAAACACATTATTCATATTGCCTATAAAACTAACTAATGAACCAATCCTCTAGGTATATCCAGACAAGAATAAGTTCTATTAGAAGTTCACTACATTCCCTATATACATGTATTAGTTAATTTTGATTTATCCAAATCCATGGCAGGCTCCAACCAGTCTACAAGATGATTGAGAATAAGAATCCTCCAAAAATATAAGGGTACAAAGTTTGATTCAACAGTCTAGTTCCAAAAAATCCTATATAATATTTGTTCGAATATAGTTACCTCAATAGTCATTCAAGTGTAGTTATGTCATTAAAAATAAGTTGCCTGGCAAATCAGAAATTACACATGTTCCCCCAATAAAATGTGCACGACTCCATGAATTAAATCGTGTCAACAACCCTTATCATACTAGTAACGAAATTAAGGGTTGCTAACAATTTAATTAAGGGAAATACCTTCCATCTAGTGAGCGATGGATATTCAGAAACTCAAACGGACTTTTACACTGAGGACATGTAGGTTCCTTTTTGTAAGAGGCCCATCGCAGGATGCATGTGACACTGACCAAAAAAATAACAAGAAACATCAATTGTGATCATAATTCCATCTATTTATAATTAGGTAACTAAAACATGTTCTAACTTCAGGTCCAAGAAACATTCTCATTGGAATCAATAAAAAGATATAGTAACTACCGAGTAGAATATCATATTCCTCATTAAATACAAATCATCTACCCTGCATTTGCCAAGATCTCAGGCTAAAGGAGCTATACAATTATTATATTAAGCCCTTATTTGATAAAATTTTAAGAAAATTTATAAACTTTTCAACTGATCAAAGTTTAATTTAAACCACACATCTTCATGGGAATAACAACTCTTATCCACTTACATTTCATCATCTTTTATCAAATTCGCTAAAACTAAGGATTTGCCACAACCCATAAATAGAAAATTAAATGAAAAAATATAGAAATCTATAAATCTCAAATGAACATGCATTGATTATAACATATTTGAGAATCACTTTTCATAAACAAAGTGGACCCGTCATTACCAATAGAGTAACAATGTGAGAGAAAGATGTGGTCATGAGAATAAATAAAGCCATAGTCTGGTGCTGCTTTTTTGCTTGATTTTAAGTGGAAATGTCACCCTTTTTTTCTCATTTGGGACCCACGCGTGAGAGAATGGGTCAACAATTACGGCGGCCAATGGTAGAAATTTTGATAAGAATCTGGGGAAAATCAGGCCCAGACAGATGCAAAATATGAAAGACTAATCAAACTTGAGTACTAGCATTTGGTAATGTAACAATTAAATGAGAAAGGAGAATTATGTTCAATCCTTCTGTCTTCTTACCCAGAAGCAGAACTTAATATACTTTCATATGTTGGAAAGATGAATACCTTTGTTTAGATGTGTTTTTTAATAGGAGAGCTGGTAAAGGGAATGAGATAGAAATATATGAAAATAGAAATGGCATGTTATTCAGGTGTGCTAATCATAAAGATAACCTTCTGCAGCAATACAAACCATTAAGCCCCTGTTTGATGGCCATTATTTGAGAAAAACAATGTTTTGAATAGTGATTTAGTAGAATGCATGGCTAAAAAGTAAGAAAAAATTTTGGATTTACATGCAAAATATTTTATCGTGTAGATGTGTGGTTGAAAAAAAGTACATAGAAAAAAGAGTTTTCAAAGAATGGTTGTCAAATGGGCTAAGAAATTCTAGAACTATGCATTGAGCTGATCTTCTAAATCCCATCGTTGAAATCATATTATAATAAAGTTTTGCACCTTCACGTGAAGATTATGGTTGCACGGTTATTATTACCCATTCATAGCTAGATTATGTGAATAGCATGAGCCAGGCTAATGCACCAAGTGCCTCAGCAAAATGAATCGCTCCAGAAGCAAGTATGCATGCTCGTAATGAAGGACGTGATCTAGTTACTAAGGTTAATCTATATAATATATTAAATATCACATCCAGTGAGAATATATTTTGGACGATTCTATCCTTAAAATAATTTAATTATTTCAATAATATCAAACTTTTTGTTTTTCAATATGTATTTAATTAATTCAATAATACCCTATATTTTGTCTTTCAATATGTATTTAATTTATTAATCATTTGAACCATTTGAATAATATTATCATTAATTCTTTTGTCAACGATTTAGATATGATGAATGTACATTTGACACAATCATTATCTTACTTTTCATTTTTCAATATGTAATTAATTTATTTAACTTTATTTAACCATATTTGATAGATTCATTACCTTTTTGTTTTCAATATGTATTTGATTTACTTAATCATTTAAACAATATAATCATAAATTATTTTGTCACTTATTTAGTGATGATCAATTTTACATTCGACAGATTCATTCCACATGATTGAATAATAAATAAAATTCATTAACATTTTTTGGAACAAAAGATGAATATTTTTAGAGTCTTCTTTCAATTGATTTATTTAATAAATGTTAAGATATAGAGAAGGAAAATGGGGAGACATAATGCGTATCTATAATAAATATTTCAATTGATATATTCAATGCATATTAAGCTAATATGAAGAAAGGATGACATTCGCTGAATACTCGGTTCAAATCAAAAATGATAAATGGGTTATTATAATAGATTTCGTCACCTATTTAAATTGTTTTCACAAACTGATTTTTATTTTCTTTGAATCAAAAGCTCATTCCAGATAAGCAATTTGGATTAATTATTTTTTATATCCTCACATCTTCAAATATTATTTTTATAGCACTTATAAAGCATTTCAGTTGCACGTTCAACTATGATTAGTATATTTAATAATATACAACTGCTATCAAAATAGGTGGGAGTTTAGTATTGACCCAATTCCTGATGCATTTTCTTTTACCTTCCCCCAAAAGAATCCAAAACCTAATACTTAATTCAGAATAAAACTTCTCTACCATTTTACTTCTCTTACAATGCCTAAAGCAATACCCCAAAAATGCTTTTAGATAAGACATTTATTAAGATGTGAAGCCTGGTAGCTCATAGTTGTCTTTATTTTACAAATACATCACCAAGTTATATTTTGCCCCAATTAGACAACCATTATTTGAAAACTCTTTTTTCTACCTACTCATTTTTAACCACGCATTCACACGATAAAATATTCTGCATATACTAAAAATCACTATTCAAGATATTGTTTTCCCAAATAATGACCTTCAAACCGAGCTTTTATTAATTTGTGCACCACACACCTTAAGTTTCATATCAAGTAACTATCTCAAATATAAACTTCAAATATTCTCCAAGATGTCATCCAGAGGCAAGGGGAATTACACTTGTCATACTCTATAGGCCCAGTTATACTGTATATGGCAATAATTTCATAATGATTCATGCAAACAATAAAAGCAACAAAAAATACAAGTAAATATCTAACTACGAGATTCAGACAAACCAGTAGGCATGCTCGCAACCTTTTACGAGAGCAGTTTCTGCAAGAACTATCTTATTCAAACATATTGCACAAAAACCATGATGATTAGTGTTGTTAGTATTGTTAGTCTCAGCCGCAACTTGGTTAATGTCCTCTGGTGCTGCTGTACAAGTTCCCTCCATTTTACACTGAAATTCACAACTTTAAACCAGTCAATGTACAAAACGAATCCAAATATCTATTCAGAAAAGGCAAACATAATTCTTTTAGGTTGAACTAAAGACCCCCAAACATATGAATGGTGAAAAACAAATTAACAAACGAAAGCATCTAAAGATCGAAAAATACTAACACCGACAATAGATTCACATCCCAAGGTAATAAATATCTTACCATTTATGATTAATAGATTATATCTAAGCAAATATTTTCCAACGAAAATGTGTTGAAATATTAAGCAAAATCAAGACAGATTTTTAGAAAACCAGTAAACAAAAACTCCAAAAGAAAATTCAACTGGACAACAACAGTATTGAAACCAAATCTTTATATATTCTCTTTCACCTCTGATACAAAGAAATTGATCTTTCTAACTAATTTTAACGATTTAAAGCAAAAAAAGATCCAATCAGATCAAAACCGCATAAAAAAACTCATTATTTTCATTCAAACGATCTAAAACAAGAAAAACTACATCGTGAAACCAAATTAAACCCGCAGAACAAAAATTCCAGCTTTCAGTTAAATCATTTCTTGGAATGCCCATAAAAAATTAGGTCGAAAAATTCGAACCTCTTCTTGGATTGAGAGACCCTGAAGATCCACTACTTCATCTGCTGAAGACATGACGATTTTCTTCTAATCTAAAAAGAAATTAAAAACCTAAACTATGAAAATATGAATATATACAAATAGGTTTTATATAATATGTTCAGATAATATGGCGTATCTGAAAGGGAAACCGCAGAATAATTCTGGTTGCAGAACGAAGTACAAGTAAGAGGCGATGTGGGTGGCTCTAAATAAAGGCGGTGATGCACACGGCAGCATATGCCGCATGGGCTGCCGCTGATTAATTATAGAAAATGAAAATTATGGATGTACCTCTTGCATCAGATACTGTACGTAATAAAATTTCCATTCATTTTTCCAGTCAAACGCATTAACGCGTTGAAATATTATTCATAATTATATATTTTTTTTCCCTTCTTAAATATAGTATAAACATAGTTATATCAACAATAAAATAGTCACGTCTAGAACAAGTTCAAGTTTTCTTATCGAGCAAGATTCGCCATCTTTCTTTATCTTTGTCATCACCAGAGCCTGAATAGCGCGCACTGCCGTCCCCTGACATTACATTACATTTTTCTCTCTCCTATTTTCAATCACACAATCTTTCATAAAATAATATTACACGTAAATCGAAAATTTTTCCTTCTTTTTCAACCACCCATTTATCAAACAGGGGCTTAACCGTTAATAGTATTGACCGCCTTAAGGTGCACCTAGACTCCCATATGCACGCCTTGATGCACATTATTAATATTTTTAGATTTCTTTTTTTACTACAACATAAATTTTTCAACTTTTATGTTAATTCGATTGAAAGACCCAAAAATTAATAATTATAAAATGTCCAACCAACTGCCGACAAATTAAAAGGTTCGAAAAGTTGATTACCCACTTATTAGTCCATTAATTTATAGAGTGCAACTCAAATAATTTTATTGTAAACTTAATGTATCTTTGGTTTGGTTGTTGCCTATTGTACTAATATATAAATAGTTACGTATATTTTATTAAGTTAATTAATCATTTTTCTATCTTTTACTAATTAATAAAAGTTTAAAACTCTCCGTATATTTCAATTAGTATTATTATAATACATTTTGTTTATTGTTCTAAAATATATTTATTTTACTAAGTTCTTTAAACATTTGGTGCTATATTGTATTGTTAAATGATTTTTAAATTGATTAAAAATTTAAAATAATATTAAAATAAGAAAACGTTTTTTTTTTTACGCTTTTTTACCCTTAAACCTCGTCTAAGTGCACATCAACTAAAGCTTGACCTTCAAGCATCGCCATATATTACGCTTTTTAGAACAATGATCATTACATGAAGCCCCAAGTTTTTACAATAGAGTAACAAGATTTATTGACGATGGAAATAAAACAAGAGACACAACAATAATTTTCACAATATAAGATAATCAAATCATCCATAATAACAACGTAAGTCATAATTGAAGTAGAAGGCTCGATCTACCGACTCAAATTTAGACTCTTGAATTCTTGCTAAAAGATTGTAAGCTTTGATCTTATCTTAATAAAAAAGATAAGTAGAGCTTAACTAACATGTTAAACTTCTCATCCCTTCTCTTCCACCGACGAATCTCTCGAACCTACAAGTTGTTGCTATCCCTCGTAGAGAATAGATAGAGGTCATTCCCGTAACGAAATGCAAGAGCAATAGGCAAAATCAAGGAACCTTTTGACTGATGGATTGATTAAATACAAAAATAAACTAAGAAATAGTGCGTAATTTTGTAAGTGTTATCTCTTAAATCCAATCAACTTTAGACAAACACTTTTAAGGCCCGTTTAATTATTATTTTTATCAAAATATATTTTTCTCTCTCTTCTTTTTAACCACATATTCTTTATTAAAATAATATTATACGTAAATAAAAAAATTCCTTATTTTTCCTCCACACATTCTCCATCAATCTACTATTCTAAAATTCACTTTTCTATAAAAATAGGTGTCAAACACTCTCTTAATATATATAATTGATGCAATTTTATGGCAGATCCATTATTTAATTAATACTCAATTAAAATAAATAGTAGAGTCTGTAATTCAAGTTCTGGTAATTTGTTAATTACAAGAAGTTGTGATTGTGAAATACATGAATATTAAATTATCCGTGATTGTAAGTAATAACGAGATACGGATATCGTTACTATAAATAGATCATCACTTGTGGCATTTCTTGCTTGTCATGTAATAGCTTATCTCGCATGCTAAAGTGTAATGATACTTAAACGAACACGTGAATATTTTGTTATGGAACAAACATTGGAGTCCCATTGGAGATATTCTACATAGATAAATATCTTGAATGTCAGCGGTTAATCTCTAACGTTTGGGAGTGGAATTAGTCCTTCGATTAGAGATCATTATAATGCTTTATACGAAGACAGACATACTTTGGTAATATTGAATGTTGCTCTGCCAAGGGCAGCTAATATGACATTGTTCGGCTATGTCAAGAATCATATGAAAATTGTTAACGATCAATAGAGGATTCGTTATTCTTAGATAATAAGAGATTATGATCTATATTTCATTATATTAAGTCGATAACGAAATCCTTGATCCTAGTATACTCATAAATCGAAAAGGAATTTTGACTTATATTGACTTAATAGTGGAATGAAAAATAACATTGATATTAAGATTGACACATATACATATCTCGTAATTGATCAGATCATATTGATGAAATGATTATAGTTTCACGATAAACGAACAAATTTAATTTTTGTCATACCACGTGACATTTTCTGTCACATGTATAACATAGAAGAACAAGATTTATCAATTAATTAATTGAGTTTGCATAATTCAACAAAGATATAACCTTCTATCATAATTTCTATTTAAGCACAAAGAAGATATTTGATGAGAATTGAAAATTTTGTTTAATTTCCCCTGATTAAATAAATTCCCAACAAATTTATAAATAAACACTTACCAAAAAAGTGATTTGCATTGGCCAAAAGGACTATTCAAATGGAGTTTTTCCCTTTTCTTTTGTTAAGTGGGCCAAGAATTCGATTAGATATAGTGGTAATTACACAAAATCCTAACATTAAAATCATGAATTCTAAAATCATATGGGAACTTTAATCTTTCAAAAATCAAATATAGCATATTTAAATATTAATGTTAAATATACATTTTATATCCCAAACCCTATAACTCTCTCTCTCTTCGTCTTCTCTCGCTCATCCTCCCCAGTAGCCGATGTTATTCATCTCCGACAACAACGGTGAGGTGCAGTGATTGATGGCGGCTGCGATGGTTTTTTTATTTTTTATTTTTTGCTAATGGCTGTTGGACGATGACTCTAGCGATAGGTGGTATGTGACGGTGGGCTGCGATGGTGGATCTAGCCAGGTGCAGTGGTTGATGGCGATTGCGGGTACGGTGGGGGTTACAGATCACAACGGGGATCACAAATGGTTGATGGCGGTTGCAGTTCGATGGATCTGTGTTGGTGGTTTTGGCGATTTGTTTTTCAGTGTTGCTCTTAGGTGGTGGCAATAATCTGGCAGCAACAGTGGTGGTGGTGTCGAATGCGGAGGTTTTCATCAGTATTGGTGGTGGTCATAAATTATTTGGTTGATTGTGACCATTAAATTGGTTAATCTGTGACCAATAAATAATATGTGACAAATGAAAAAAAATAAATTGTGATCGAAAAATAATGTGTGACCTAAAAAATTGTTAATCTGTGACCGATAATTTGTGACTGTATAATAAGTTGTGATTTGTAATATTTATAATTTGTGACCAACAAATAAATCGTGACTTATAAATTTTTCGATTTGTGACCGATGAACAAACTGTGACTTATAAAATTTTTGAATTGTGACCGTAAAATAATTTGTGATATAAAATTTTTGATTTGTGATCAAAAAATAATAAGTGGGGGACTAAATCATCAATTTGTGACCAAATTAAATAAATATGTGACTTAAATATATTTAACTAATATGTGATCAATGAAAAAGATAAATTGTGACAAAAAAATAATGTGTGACCTAAACTATTGTTAATCTGTGACCAATAATTTGATAATTTGTGACTGTATAATAAGCTGTGACTTGTAATATTTGTAATTTGTGACCAATAAATAAATTGTGACTTATAAATTTTTCGATTTGTGACCGATAAACAAACTGTGACCTATAAAATTTTTCAATTGTGACCGTAAAATAATTTGTGACATAAAATTTCTGATTTGTGACCAAAAAATAATAAGCGACGAATTAAATCATCAATTTGTGACCAAATTATATAAATACGTGACTTAAATATATTTAATTACTAAAATTAATTAATTAAACTATAAATGATTTTTTAATAAAAATCTGATTTTTGAAATTTGAAACTTGTTTTCTTGTTTTTAAAATGTAGCATAATTAATCTCTCACTTATGAAATTTTCCCTTAGATATATGAATCAAGCTTGTACATCGGTAAAAACACCGCAAACACGAAGCTGCGCCGAGGAAGCATAGCATTGCAAGGCCAATTGACAAGTATAGCACTACTTGGAGAGAACAAGTTGATCAATTTGAGTAACCTGTGCTTCTTAAACTCAAAGAACAAGTTTTTATTCAGTACTGCTGGCTGCCGTAACGTTTTAAAAATTCCTTCCCTTAACAGCTAAAGCAATTTGTTCAATTCTAGTCGTCAATCCCGTATCTAATTAGATCTCAAATCGAGGCTACTACTTACTGATTTCTAGATAATAGATTATATAATTGGCAAAGGTAAACCAAAGTAGCTAGTTCGTCTAGCCTCGTGTTCCTTCAACTCTAAGAAGCGATAGAATCCCTTCGCTACACTCAACTTAAAGGCACCTATGAACTCACTCACAAGAAAGCCACACTCAAGTAGGTCTGTCGAGCCCACATTCGAGAATAGGATCCTCACAATATGCCACATTAAGCTGTCCGCAACACCCGAAACACTATACAGCATTGATAACATGAGTGCCCTGAACAACCTCCTTATTCCTCCTCCTCTCGGCTAGTTCCATCCGGTCAGCCTCGATAAGGAAGTCACCATGATAAGTCGACGTCTAAGAAATTGTTCATTACTTACATAAGAAGTTCAGTGCTTTAAAAAAAGAATATGTGCTGTGTAAATCCGGAATGGGAGCTAAAGAGGAGAGACTAAATTCTCTTGCCAGTTTCTATATGCAATTAAACTCATTTCATGCAAAACCCTTGTCATTAACACAGCACAACGGTGCACATAAAATCTTGTGTAATACGTGTACATGTCATCATAATGTTAGCAGTTACGACCTAATCTCGATTCCAGTAGATATAATAACCATACGAAATCATGATTCGCACGAAGAAACTGTACAGATTAAGTACCTATTGCTGCCAAATGTTTGTACAAGATTATTTCCACATACATCAAGACCGGGAAAA